CTCCCTCCCTCCCTCCCTCCATCCCTACTTTCTTTTCCGACCCTTTTTCATGCTTTCCTCTTTTTTTCTTTCTTCTTTCTTTCTTTTTTGTTTCTTTGTTTTCTTTCTTTCTTCCTTCTGTTTACTTCTTTCTTTCTTCTTTCCTTCCTTCGCTTTCTTTCTTTCTCTCTTTCTTTCTTTTTCATTCATTCATTCATTCTTCTGTCCTCCTTGCATTTATGTATTTCCTCCCTCCCTTCCTCTTTGCCAGGTGGATGAAACGGGTCTGGAAGTGATAGATATCGAATTGGTCATGGCACAGGCCAACGTCTCCCGCCCCAAAGCCGTCCGAGCCCTTCGTCGCAACAACAACGACATTGTCAACGCCATCATGGTGAGTGGTTTGAGGGCAGCCCTCTCTCTCCTCTGCTGCAGTGGAATGTAGTCTGGATTCCCGGAAGGAAAGGGAGGGGCTGCATTCCAGGAGACGGAGAGACGGGTTTGGAGAGTTTGGTTGAGAGGAAGAGAATTGACATGGCTGCTTCCCCGCGATTCCCACAGTATATCCCTAGGGAGGCAGTCCTCAACTTGCGATGGTTCAGTTAGTGTCTGTTCCTCAATTTACAACTGTTAGCAACTGTTCCAAGTTCAAACAGCACAGAAGAAAGGGTCTTAAGACTGTTTTTCCCACTCACGACCCTCGCAGTGTCCCCACAGTCACGTGTATCAAAACTCAGATGCTGGCGCAAACCAATGCATATTTATGACGGTTGCAGCATCCCCGAAGAGGAAGGGGGTGTCACGTGATCCCCTTTTGCGACCTTCCCCAACCAGCGGGGAAGCCAGATTTGCTTAAGGACCATGGGACTGCCTTCACAATTGCCAGGATTCCCTTAATACAGATCTGCCAGGGAAGGTCGTAAAATGGGACAAAAACTCACTTAAGAAGCATCTTACTTAGCGACACAAATCTGCAGCTCCATTGTGGTCGTACATTGAGGACTGCCTATGGAATAGAATAGAAATGAATAGAATAGAATATAGAGTAGGGTAGAAAGGAATAGATTACATTACTACATTATTACATTATAAACTGCTTGAAAAAATAAAGGGAACACAAAAATAAGACATCCTAGATCTGAATGAATGAAATATTCTTATTAAATACTTTGTTCATTACATAGTTGAATGTGCTGACAACAAAATCACATAAAAATTATCAATGGAAATCAAATTTAGCAACCCATGGAGGTCTGGATTTGGAGTTACACTCAAAATTAAAGTGGAAAAAAACACGACAGGCTGATCCAACTTTGATGTCATGTCCTTAAAACAAGTCAAAATGAGGCTCAGTAGCGTGTGTGGCCTCCACGTGCCTATATGACCTCCCTACAACGCCTGGGTGTGCTCCTGATGAGGTGGCGGATGGTCTCCTGAGGGATCTCCTCCCACACCTGGACTAAAGCATCCCCCAACTCCTGGACAGTCTGTGGTGCAACGTGGCGTTGGTGGATGGAGCGAGACATGATGTCCCAGATGTGCTCAATTGGATTCAGGTCTGGGGAACGGGCGGGCCAGTCCATAGCATCAATGCCTTCGTCTTGCAGGAACTGCTGACACACTCTAGCCACATGAGGTCTAGCATTGTCATGCATTAGGAGGAACCCAGGGCCAACCGCACCAGCATATGGTCTCACAAGGGGTCTGAGGATCTCATCTCAGTACCTAATGGTAGACAATCTACCTCTGGCGAGCACATGGAGGGCTGTGCGGCCCCCTAAAGAAATGCCACCTCATACCATTACTGACCCACTGCCAAACCGGTCATGCTGGAGGATGTTGCAGGCAGCAGAACGTTCTCCACGGCGTCTCCAGACCCCGTCACGTCTTTCACATGTGCTCAGTGTGAACCTGCTCTCATCTGTGAAGAGCACAGGGCGCCAGTGGCAAATTTGACAATCTTGGCAAATGCCAAACGTCCAGCATGGTGTTGGGCTGTAAGCACAACCCCCACCTGTGGACCTCGGGCCCTCATACCACCCTCATGGAGTCTGTTTCTGACCGTTTGAGCAGCCACATGCACATTTGTGGCCCGCTGGAGGTCATTTTGAAGGGCTCTGGCAGTGCTCCTCCTGTCCCTCCTTGCATAAAGGCGGAGGTAGCGGTCCTGATGCTGGGTTGTTGCTCTCCTACGGCCTCCTCCACATCTCCTGATGTACTGGCCTGTCTCCTGGTAGCTCGCATTGATGGCCATCCTGGATGAGCTACACTATTGAGCCACTTGTGTGGGTTGTAGACTCCGTCTCATGCTACCACTAGAGTGAAAGCACTGCCAGCATTCAAGAGTGACCAAACCATCAGCCAGAAAGCATAGGGACTGAGAAGTGGTCTGTGGTCACCGCCTGCAGAACCACTCCTTTAGTGGGGATGTCTTGCTACCTGCCTATGCTTTCCGCCTGTTGTCTGTTCTATTTGCACAACAGCATGTGAAATTGATTGTCAATCAGTGTTGCTACCCAAGTGGACAGTTTGATTTACATTGTGTTGTTTACATTGTGTTGTTTACATTGTGTTGTTTAAATGTTCCCTTTATTTTTTTTGAGCAGTGTATTTTATGCTTTTTTAGTTTACTTTATTGTCATTGCAGCTCGTACAACGAAATCAAACACCATCTTCAGTGGACATCATGAACACGAAAATAAACACAAACACACACCCTTCACACTCCACACATTGAATTGGAAACCCGATATTGCATTAATATTGCACAATACAGCAGAATTCAAAAGAGCTCCTGCCCTGGGAAAGATGCTGTTTTTCAGCCTATTTGTCATTGTTTTTAATATAATATAATAATGATGGAGGAGGAGGAGGAAGAGGAAGAGGAGTGGGAGGAGGAGGAAGAGGAGGAGGAGTGGGAGGAGGAGGAGGAGGAGGACTGGGAGGAGGAGGAAGAGGAGGAGTGGGAGGAATAGGACTGGGAGGAGGAGGAGGAGGAGGACTGGGAGGAGGAGGAGGAGGACTGGGAGGAGGAGGAGGAGGAGG